CCTGGTCGTCTCATATCTTGATGATTTCTAAGAAAATATTCCGTCTTACCTTCTACATCAAGAAGTTAAGACATTCTGGTACAACCCAACCCTTACTCCTACAATTCGTTAACTCTCGCATTCTGCCTATTATTCTCCCTTAGTTTTTCCTGGACTATTGAGGAAAGACTATGCCTTATTACGCAGGATGTTAAAGGTTGTCAGCAGGGGAAGCAATGTGCCACTTCACCAGCTTCATAATATTCTGGTGGACAGGCACTTTGACTCATGTGAAAAATGGGCAAAATCCATTTTATCTAACTCACAACACCCTCTTCATTCACAACTCTCCCCTTGTATCTTTTCAGGCAAAACCAGAAGCCTATATAGAAAACTATATGCTCGCACTAGTAAGTACAAAAACTAAACCATACCCTAATTAGCTCGTGTTCTGTGCGATAAAGAAAGCATTAGGCGTGAAACCTTTAACTTATTAAATAGTCAGTAGAACAACTGGATCTCGTCTTTCCATCTCTTATCATTTATAAGTACAGGGTTTTTTTCTTTCTTTTCCTTTTCTCTCTTTTCTGTTATGTGCAGCTTTTTTCTTTCTTCCACTTACGCCAGTAAATATGCTAGAACCTACTTTCATAACACCTTCAAACACTTTAATTTTGGCTAATATGTTGTTGTCAAAACTAACTGAGATTACCCTTAATCTATGTAGAATTTTATTTTATTGTTAATTTACTAACTGGATGCAATACTGTAGTAAAATACTGAGAATTCCATTCTGTATCGCAAGTACTGTTTTGGAATAAAGCTATTATCATTATCTTTTGGGTCACTTGACTTATACGAATCTAGTGTTCTCAGAAGATGGAGAACAGATCTGCAGTATGATTTAAAATTCATTTGTCTTCAGAGTTGTTAAAAGTTTGTTCGCAGACCCCTTAATATCTCTGCAACCCAAACTGCTTTTGTTCAAGATTGAATCACTCTGAATTTGTTACTACTATTTAAACATCCAATACAGGTATGTAATGACTAGTTCTCTTAACACAATACTTCTGTTATTCCTAGGCAAATATGTGGCATTCCTAGCATACGAGTAGGATGGGGGTGACGATAACGGAAACTTTTTATCAATTAATCAATGCCAAAGTTTATTTATAAAACCACGTTCATACAGAAACAATAAATAAACCAACAAGCTGTGCAAACTTTTGAATAAACAATCATACTACTTGTAAGTACCATAAATTTCTAAGTTACCACTCTTCTCACTAGAATGAATTATTGGTTGGTATAATAAGAGAACGATTAACAATGGGTACGTAAACATTTTGAACATTATCTCCCTTGTCCAAATCCGTCGTTTCTGTATGTACCGCGAAATATGCCAAGTTTTATGTCACGACGGGATAGTAATCACGAATCACCAAAACACCACTGCTAACACTTCAGTGAACAAGGATCACTAATGACAATGACTTACTGCTCGCAAGACATTTAACAACATTCCTCTTATATTTAATGGGCACGTAACTAAGGAAGTGTGTGTATTGCCCTGTGAATGTGCTTTTTCTATACACGCTTCTCCCAAGTGACCCATCTTCTCTCCTACTCAGCAAGACATCCAGAAAATCTAGTTTATTCTCCTGCTCCTCTTCACAAGTAAAAGTAAGCGAAGGGTGGATGTTGTTGAATTTCAGCAACAATTCGTCTATGTTAACATTCCCATCAGCTAAGATAAATGTATTATCAACATATCGGTAATACATATCAAACTCCTTGATGATGTCTTCCAATTTCCTGTTTTCAAGTTTCGTGAGAAAGAAGTCAGCCAATATTTGGCCTAATGGTGAAACCATAGCTATTCCATCTACTTGTCGATAGTATGAATTGTTGGAGACAAAGTGAATATTCATTGAGCATTTAAGAAGTGATTCTTTGAGGCTACACAAGGGGATTCCTAAGTTCAATTGCCTTTCGGTGATTTCTTGACAAATATAATCTACTATTTCCATAAGCGGTACATTAGTGAATAGTGATGACACATCCATGGATAACATGCGTTTATACCTCACATTAGTCTTGGATATTTTAGAAATAAAGTCGAAGACATCACAAATCAACAGGAGCTCCTAAGGTTGACCAATCAGACACTGATAAACAGTTTGAAAATTTGTATTCTCAAACGTCAGATCTTACCCCATCATCGGACGATGAACTAACTAGGTTCAAAACGACGCTAGTGGACAGCTGCCAGCAATACAAGAATAATAAACATTCACTAAATAGTTTGTTATCTAAGCAACGCAGAGAAGCTCTAAGAGAACTTAGAAGCAACGAAAGCTTAATTATTAGCAAGCCAGATAAAGGTGACGACATGGTTTTACTGGACAAAAGCGATTATGTTGAGAAAATCAAAGGGATTTTGAGTGATCAAACCAAGTTCCAATCTCTTGGTGCTTCCAAAGACCTCAATGTAAGAGCGGAGAAACTAATGATGGACTCCCTCAAAAAACTGAACCAAATAGGAGTATTATCATCAACCACGTATGAGACCATGAAACCTACAGGTACCAATACTCCACGTCTTTACGGTCTACCCAAAGTGCACAAACCGGTTTTCCTCCTCGCCCTGTTTTAGATATGTATAATTCTCCATTTCACGGGACAGCAAAGTGGTTAGGGAAGATTCTGCGTCCTTTGCACAGAGAAATCGTGCAACATACAATTAGTGATGTCTTCGACTTTATTTCTAAAATATCCAAGACTAATGTGAGGTATAAACGCATGTTATCCATGGATGTGTCATCACTATTCACTAATGTACCGCTTATGGAAATAGTAGATTATATTTGTCAAGAAATCACCGAAAGGCAATTGAACTTAGGAATCCCCTTGTGTAGCCTCAAAGAATCACTTCTTAAATGCTCAATGAATATTCACTTTGTCTCCAACAATTCATACTATCGACAAGTAGATGGAATAGCTATGGTTTCACCATTAGGCCAAATATTGGCTGACTTCTTTCTCACGAAACTTGAAAACAGGAAATTGGAAGACATCATCAAGGAGTTTGATATGTATTACCGATATGTTGATAATACATTTATCTTAGCTGATGGGAATGTTAACATAGACGAATTGTTGCTGAAATTCAACAACATCCACCCTTCGCTTACTTTTACTTGTGAAGAGGAGCAGGAGAATAAACTAGATTTTCTGGATGTCTTGCTGAGTAGGAGAGAAGATGGGTCACTTGGGAGAAGCGTGTATAGAAAAAGCACATTCACAGGGCAATACACACACTTCCTTAGTTACGTGCCCATTAAATATAAGAGGAATGTTGTTAAATGTCTTGCGAGCAGAGTAAGAAAGATATGTACGGATGGCCTCTTACAAAAGGAATTTGAATATATTCACGATTCCTTGACGGAGATGGGCTATCCGAGTAGTTTCATAAAGAAACATATGAAATCATCAGAGAAAGCGTGAGACTCTGATTGCACTTGAGAAACCTCTATTTATTAAGTCACAATTTAATGGTGACTTATCAAGTGAGATTTTATTCCAGAGACTTTCCATGAGTATACGGAGAACACTTTACGCAGCACACCTATGTTTGTCATTCTCTAGCCGATGAATGATTGGGACGCAAACGAAGGATAAGCTTGATAGTTTTGCCACATCTATGTGCATTTATCAATTCAACTGCACCTGCGGTGACAGTTATGTTGGGCGTACTACTAGACAGCTTAGCCAACATGTTAGTGAACATCTCCTATCGTGGTTCGGCAAAGGACAGATAAAAACAATCCCTAGCTCAATTTTGTCACATTTAATTGATACTGGTCATGTAGTGGAGAAAACGAGAGCCTTCAAAGTAATCCATCGTATCCCACCGAATCTTTCCAATAAACTTCGTATTCGTCTAATACACACACACACGCACAGCTGAGGCGATAGGCATTCGAACTATTAAATCTAAACTATGCATTCAAAATGTTCCTACAGTTATTATCCCTCCTTTGTTGGCCTATTAAGACATAACCAACTAATGACTTCTACACCGCACCTTGTTTATATTTTCAACCCCTTTCTTATCATCCCCTAATCTTGTCACATCCTCATTATAAACGTGTTTCATTTCCTTCCCTTACAATCAGTCTAGCATTACTTAATCGGTTCATTTGTTTTTACTAGCCTTTATCGACTACTTCTAACTGAACATTTGTTTGTTTAACCATGCTGTTTTTTCATTATTCGTGTTATCACAGATTACCTCACTTTTTCATCCTTATTATTATCATTACTACTATTATGAATGACTGCAGAATTTATATTCTGTCTGTCTGTTTTCGACATAGAACTTTGCACAAATGTGCGGAAGTTCAAGTCGCCACACTCCGTGTAGCACGCGAAGCAAGAGAAGAAAGTACAAGAAAAGCATAATAGAAACAGTGAGCAGAGGTGTGAGACAAAGGAGTAATAAAGAAAAACAAAACAGTTTCATTGGAGATCATAAGTCACAAGGAGTGGAATTTATATTCACCATCTTATTATCCTATAGACAAAACACCATGATTGATTTATGTTTGAATTTTCATTTGTAAACTTATGTATATTAGAGTTAAGCCTGATGAGATCTAATTGAAAACAATATTTTTCGCGTAATGTAGATTCATTGTAATCCGCATCGACAACGATATGCCAGACACCACACAAGCGGTCGAATTAATTATCTAGCCGGCTTCACTTCACTGGTATTGGTAATGTCGATATATATATATATATATGTCTTGGGACTTACTGCCGTCGGTGTGTATTGTTTTAATACTGCGCATAAAGCAATACACATTAAACATTAACGGATGCAAGTTCTCCGACTGTAACATAAGTATCGCTATAAGATGATATTCTATTAGTTAGAAAAGTGAAATTTATGGTGATAGATTCAGCGAAGAGCTTTAAATCATTTGCATAAAAATCTATACATAGGGTACTTCTTTTCAAACTCCGATATCTAAAATTGTCAGTAGTTTTTTAGTAAGGCTTCTAGTGTCTTCATTCATGTAAAGTTTGGATTGGAAATTTCCAGCACAATCACAAACAGCGGTTAACGCGGGGTCTAGAGACAAACGACCTGTTAAAATAAAGAAACAAAATATTGTGTTAGAAAAAAACATCCCTAATGAAGAGAAATGTACTACGGAATTCCTTGTAGACTCAAATTTTGTGAGTGACATCACTAATGACAGATCAAAGACAAGTTATGCCGATCTCATAATTGCATGGTGGATTTAATCATGAGCTGACATCAGTTAGAGAACCACTGGAAAACCTGGGAGTACTGGACAGCTGTTTCGTCCTAGTTTGGGACTCCTCAGCAGTACGCACCCACCGGGATTCGAACCCAGGACCTTCTGGTTACAAGGCGAGCTCGTAGACCATTGAGCCACTGGGACCCGATCCAATGGTCCTTGAATTCTAACTTCTGCCAGTTCACGACATAGCGCGACCACTTCGCAATGTCTTCTTCGATGAGTTACTGCCTCATCTTCAACCTGCTGTACCCTACTGGTCACGGCTTCCCACTAGAACCCCAGGTTAACTGCCTGAATAGGGCCAGTCACTAGTGAGCATCAGATGAATTTTTAAGTATTGGTTTGTTGTAGGGATTTTGTTTGATTGCATGGTGGATTTAATCATGAGCTGACATCAGTTAGAGAACCACTGGAAAACCTGGGAGTACTGGACAGCCGTTTCGTCCTAGTTTGGGACTCCTCAGCAGTACGCACCCACCGGGATTCGAACCCAGGGCCTTCTGGTTACAAGGCGAGCTCGTAGACCATTGAGCCACTGGGACCCGATCCAATGGTCCTTGAATTCTAACTTCTGTTTATGATCTTTCTTATGAAGAATTGAGAGCATTATTAGAGGCCTTTGATGCAAATATCTCTATGAGATTTAAATCAGTATTTGCGTCAATAAGAAGATATGGTTGGGAGGAGAGAAACCTTCCAGTGGCTACATTAAATAAAGCTACCTACCACCAGTTACATATTATATGTTACTGTGGATGAGCTTGATGAAATTTTTCACAGAACTACTATTATTCTTCATCTAAAGGACTTGTTATCGAGAAACATAAGTTGCCATCACCTTGAGAATGTAAATTTTGAAAGATAAGTGTGTATCAAATAACCCACCAGACTAAAGAATCCTTTCAACTATTGGTTTTTTGTAGGGATTTTGTTTGATTGCATGGAGGATTTAATCATGAGCTGACATCAGTTAGAGAACCACTGGAAACCACTGCAAAAAACCAATACTTGAAAATTCATCTGATGCTCACTAGTGACTGGCCCTATTCAGGCAGTTAACCTGGGGTTCTAGTGGGAAGCCGTGACCAGTAGGGTACAGCAGGTCGAAGATGAGGCAGTAACTCATCGAAGAAGACATTGCGAAGTGGTCGCGCTATGTCGTGAACTGGCAGAAGTTAGAATTCAAGGACCATTGGATCGGGTCCCAGTGGCTCAATGGTCTACGAGCTCGCCTTGTAACCAGAAGGTCCTGGGTTCGAATCCCGGTGGGTGCGTACTGCTGAGGAGTCCCAAACTAGGACGAAACAGCTGTCCAGTACTCCCAGGTTTTCCAGTGGTTCTCTAACTGATGTCAGCTCATGATTAAATCCACCATGCAATCAAACAAAATCCCTACAACAAACCAATACTTAAAAATTCATCTGATGCTCACTAGTGACTGGCCCTATTCAGGCAGTTAACCTGGGGTTCTAGTGGGAAGCCGTGACCAGTAGGGTACAGCAGGTTGAAGATGAGGCAGTAACTCATCGAAGAAGACATTGCGAAGTGGTCGCGCTATGTCGTGAACTGGCAGAAGTTAGAATTCAAGGACCATTGGATCGGGTCCCAGTGGCTCAATGGTCTACGAGCTCGCCTTGTAACCAGAAGGTCCTGGGTTCGAATCCCGGTGGGTGCGTACTGCTGAGGAGTCCCAAACTAGGACGAAACAGCTGTCCAGTACTCCCAGGTTTTCCAGTGGTTCTCTAACTGATGTCAGCTCATGATTAAATCCACCATGCAATCAAACAAAATCCCTACAACAAACCAATACTTAAAAAAGATCTCATAATTCTCTATTCTTTTATGTTTACGTGTGTGTGTCTGTGGTTCAGTTGCAGAATACTCGTCAGCCATGCATATGGTTGAGGTTCGACTCACAGCCACCGTACTCCTAAAACTTGCTTAGCGAGTAGTAAATCTGATAGAGTTAAGAATGGGCGTGAGGTCAGCAACCTAGCTCCTTACAAACCACACCTGCCGCAGCTAAAACACCGAAGGTCAAGTGTGAAGTCCTATTCCACTCGAGACACAAAGGAATAAATAACAATGCTTGAGTTATTCAGATGGCTCGTTTTCGCTAAATATGCATTTTTTACTTTACGCTCTGAAGGAAACACCTGGTGCGTTTCCACGGCATTTAAGATAGAACACAACTGCAAAAGCAGGATTCACACGGACAATGAGAGAAAAATCTCCCAGATATGTGGCATAAATAAGATTTTAAAATAATCCAAGAGGAATGAAAGATTAGCAGAATGATAAATACTATTCAGGAAACCTACATTTACCTATTCGTTTTAAGGCTCGAGTGATTAAAATATAACACACGTGTTCCGTGTATAGTACATTTAAAAATCGAACGAAATACTCCAATGTTGATTCATAAGAAAAAAACAGACGATGAAGAAAATTTTCTTCTCGACGATTCATTTTCATAGGTTGTACAGTAAAGAATTCATATGACCAATCAGATACTCGTAAACTCTATCCTCGAAAGCATATTACGTACGTAAGGTAAGGTGAAGTCTAGAAGGGATGACCAGTTAGAAATTAGAAAAGTGGCGCAGATTGGCATGGTATTGTTGCAGCTGGGGCTGATGCAACTACCCAGATAAATGAAGTGGTCAACACGCCCCACCACTTCACACCCACCTGTCTTTAAGCTAGGAGTCGATGGAGTCCATTCCAATCCTGTAGAATCATCTTACATTTGACACCAGGAACAAATCGCATGCCAAACATTCGAAGATTGCTTCTCAGCTCAAGGTGTTCAGAAGACTCTGCTCTACTTTGTCAGCCTCTTAACCTAGAAGGTCTATATCATCCGAATGCACATTCTAAGTCAACGAGATTATTCCCTGCTAACTAGTCAATCCTTGAGCCGCTGAAACCAATTAGGGTCAAGTCCATTAGTGCATCTTTGACGATATCTAAACAGAAATGGGGACAGTGGGCATCCCTGACGGAAAACACGGGTTGTCATCATATGTCATGTCAAATGACAACTAACTCTCCGTAGGTTCTCACCTGGCTGACAGCATGAGTTACAGCACAGTGTCTTGATCAGTTCAATGTATTTTCTCGGGATTCTCTTCACAGCCAAACATTACCATAGTACCTCTTGAGAGAGAGAGAGAGAGAAAGAATCCAAAGCCACTTTCAGGTCAAGAAATATGACGATTGTTAGACACCAGTAAGTATGTCTGTGTCCCAGAATCTGTCGAAGGGTGAAGATATGATCAGTACACCCTCTCCCTCGTCTAAAGCCTGCCTGCTTCTCTCGTGTTTCTTCCTCCCGAACACCACATAATTAGTCTACGCATGATTATTGAACCTACATATTTAGATAACATTCTAATCAAGCTAATTCCCCTGTGACCATCATCACAGGAAGACTTGTTTTCCTTCTTGTATATCGGGGTAATCAATGGCCCACACGAGACCGACGCAACTGTCTGTGATTCCCAGACGCTTCCTGATACCTCAGTTAACACAGACAGTAGATTGTCTCCACCGTCCTTAAACACCTCTGGAGTCATTCCACCGGATCCCGCTGCTCTGTCTCGTTTCAGACTAGCGACAGCTTTCGTAACCTCAGTTAGGGACGGAGGACTTGTGTTTATATCCCATTCAGGTGGTGGAGGTGATGGATTCTGGTCAAGTTGATTGTGGCTGTAGGCCAATTAAATTGCTCCTCAAAGTGTTCTTTCCACCGTTCCAGTCGTCTATCCTGGGAGCTAATTATGGTTCCATTTTTCTTAGAGATTGTTTCACTTATCATTTGTCTTTTGTCACCTGTTTCCCTATTAGGACTAAATAGTTGTTTGGTGTTAATTGTCGCCGATGCCTTCTCCATTCCTTCACCTACGAGTCCTGGCGAACCAGTTGAGGAGTCTCCTGACAATGCTTGAGGTCAGTTACAAACAGCCTTTTTGAACTAGCTTCTTGGTTTGGTTGCATATTAGGAATTTACCGTCGCATACAGACAACCGTAGGGAAGTACAATTTCTAGGGTCAACGTTTTCTAACCCCCTATCTCCAGAGTGGAGACAACATAGCTGGCTGGTGACGAGACTCTCACAATGACTCTAACTGAGTTGTTCAGGAAGGTATGGGAGACTGAGAGTGTACCATCAATGCGGAACAAAGCCATTATCGTCCCCATCTTTAAAAAGGGTCGACGTAATTCGTGTGACAAGCGTGGGCGTATCAGTCTGCTACCAGTCGCGTCTAAAATATTGGCTGCTGTCTTGCTTCTCAGGCTGTGCAAAATACGTGAGGGATTGATTCGCGAAGAATAGGCTGGGTTTCGTTCAGCTCGTGGAAGTATTGATCATGTGTTCACCCTTCGTCAGTTGTTGGAACACCGCCACACATATTGCAGGCCAACGATCGTTGTGTTTCTTGATATTAGGGCTGCCTTCAATTTGTTAGACAGAACTGTGCTCTGGAACTGTCTGTTGGAGAGAGATATACCTGAGAAATTTGTTAACATCTTGAAAGCCCTATACAGAAACACCTCGGGTAGAGTGAGGGCATACAACCAACTATCATCACTGTTCCCAACCAACAGTGGGGTTAGACAGGGTTGCCCAATCTCTCCATTTCTCTCTTACTTTACCATCGATGACATTCTGGAGTCATCTCTGAAAGATTGCCTGAAGGTATAGATCTGCTACCTGGAGATAGACTTTTCGACCTCGAGTATGCAGACGACATCGTCTTACTGTGCGATAGCATGCAGGCTTCCCAAATCGCACTTAATCAGTTGGCGATCAGTGTCTGTGAGTATGGTATGTGCTTTGGCCGTCTAAGTGCAAAGTACTGTTACAAGATTGGCAGGAGCCTGTGCCTGCACTCACTCTTGCGGGTGAACCGTTTGAAGTTGTTGATAAGTTTGTGTATCTGGGTAGTTGTGTAAGTGCTGGCGGAGGAGAGACGGATGAGATTTCCAACCGTATAATGAAGGCTAGGGTGGCATACATCAACTTGAGCCACCTACGGCGCCGTCGTGACGTTAGACTGGCTGTCAAATGTCGGGTATACGATGCTTCGGTGCGGGCTGTCTTGCTCTACGCCTGTGAAACCTGGCCTCTCCGAGCTGAGGATGTGAGGCGACTCTGCGTGTTCGATCATCGCTGTCTCCCCAGGATTGCTTGCGTTTGATGGCATCATCGCGTGAGTAATTCTGAGGTTCGGTGGCGTGTGTCTGAACAAAGTGGATATCACCATTCATTGAATGTCGTCATGTGGAAACACCGGCTTCGGTGGCTTGGACATGTGCTGCGAATGTCATCCCAGACATCCCCGTACAGGTCTCTGGGACGGGATGGAAAAGGCGGAGAGGTGGTCAGTCCATGACGTGGCGTCGTGGGACGAAGGATGTTTGTGCTAGATTAGCATGAATTGGTGCATCACGCCTCCCTGGTTGGGGTCCGCGAGATAGCTCGAGTCGATGGCTCGAAACGTTATCGGATATGACCAAAAATCGTAATCAATGGCGAACGTGTTACCTTTTCTATCTTTCTTGCCTTCCCGAGTATAGTTAACGAATACTGTTTGAACTTGTGAAGCATGACTGTTTGAACTTGTTAAGCATGACTGTTTTCCTTCCAGATGAAGTTCTTTATCCGTTTTCTACCTATAGTACTTTTGATCTATGTTGTTTTATTATTATTGTGTGGCGCATCTTTCTTGGTGCCATATTGTACCAAGTTTTCTTCTGCGTTTAAATACATAATAAATAAATGGCTGGCTGGCATGCTGGTCATCTTAAGGAAACAACTTACTGCTATTACATCCCTGTTTTCCAGAAGTACGACTGCCCACTGACGCCCCAGTATAGTGTAAAAACAGTCTTACATTATGAATGTAACTGCTTTTAGTCTAGTCGTTATCCTAACAATCTTCCTGACATAATAGGACCTGCAGGAACATTAGTTCCAGCCAGTGTAGCTTGTTGGGTCATTTCGATATGCAAGCCCGACCGCCATGTCAAGGTAGCAGCTATCGGTCGGGAATATATATATAATGAGAAAACTAGTCCGTAAGTCGACTCATACAGAAGTGATAAAACAGATATTTAATTTGAATTGGTGACTTTCTCACTGAATAGCCGATATATGAAAAGCTAAGAGATGCGAAAACAAGATGCATGTAATTTGTGCTTCAAAACGTTTTGAGTTCTAAAGTAAGCAAAATAATGGGTTTAGACACGAAATTTCATCCAATCATGACAGAATTGGAAAGATGAATGCACAAAACCCTACAATGAGCGTAACACAAGTGAATATAATAACATTTGAAAAAATTTTACGAACTTTTCTCAGTAAAACCGATGCTTAATATGCAATACTAACTGCATTAAATGTTATAGATAAAACAAAAAATCACTAAGGAAACGTACCCAAAAATTCGACGTGTTTCTCCAAAGCCAATGCTTCAGCGCCTCCGGATGAAAACACATTTGTACAATGGGCACAATTCGGACATGTATATCCACTCATATTTTCGACTAAACCAATTATCTTAAGGTTTGTCTTGTTACAAAAACCAATTTCTCGGCGCACATCGCATAAAGAAACTCTCTGTTAACAATGAGAAAATTAGCAGCGTATTGGAATATAAAAGGCTTGAAGGAGATTTGCGCTTTTACGATACATAATCTATTGGAGACAGTAAACAAGGCTGTTACATAACCACAGTCTTGACTGCAAACACGGATCATTCATTCAGAAATCACATTTTTAATTTATAACCCATTATTCTATTATTATCGTTATCATTAGGCTCATAAGCAGAAATAATTGTCGAGAAAATCAAAACTAAATTTGGAAGTCAGAAGGCTGAACTGAAGAACCACTGATCTACAAGCTACTCATAACTTCCCAAAGAAATTCTAATTTTTTTATTTCCATATTAAAATAAAAAACTGAATTAAAATAAGTGTATCAACTGGTTAAGCTCCTACCTCCTAGTGAGAACAAATAAACGAAAATCACGAGCACAAGCACGTTTGTGCATATTGATATGAAAACCTATCGAATTCCAAAGAAAAGCCTCGTACGATAAAAAATGGCTAACTGCCATAGAAGTGTATTTTCAGTACTAAGCTTAAAACAGTACAGAAACCTCTTCACCAACATATCTACGCCAGTTAAAACAATTTCCTCGTAAATTCCAGAACCATAAGTAAAACACCCTTCTCTTGTAACTTTTTAGTGGCAGACGATAAATCGAAGAACCAAAGTTCAATCGAGATTCTTCTGCAGTTTATTTTCATCCTTCCACGAAAAAAAGGACCTGAAACAATTGCGTTTTGTTACCACGATATAATCAAGACAACTTAAAAGGAGTCGAACTGTCAGTATTGTTCACCTTTTAGTTCAAAAATACACTGTATGACTGATTTCACAGTGTTCACCGTATGCTTGTATGGTGTACATATAATTTTACTGAGATAACTAAATTTTCATTTAATAACATCTACATATTCATTTAGATCTATAAGACAATACAGATGGTATATGTTTTTATCATTTTATGAATATTTCTTATTGCAAGAAAGACATGCCTAAGTTGTTATATGTAGAATTATATTCTAAATACAGTAGATTTCTAAGTGTCAATTCTATGGAAATCTTATAGTCCTTCGAAAGACTTTAAATGGTATACAAATCGAATATTTATGCATTACAGAAACGAAACAAGATCAAATGATTAATGCGAAATTCCTGAAAAAGCTTCCCAAGGAAATAAACTACACAAGTTAGTACAGTTGCATATTTTCCAAGAGACTATCACTTGAGTTTGGACAATCAAATAAAAGTAAGTTTACCTGAGGAGTTGATACAATAATGGTTCCAACACTTGCATCAAGGGTGGACTTTTGTAGTTGTTCGAGAACAGTTATATGCTCATCTGATGTCCCAGGTGGAGTATCGATGATCAGAAAATCAAGATTTCCCCAACAAACAGAATTCAGAAGCTCCCCTACCATACTTCCCTTGCGCGGTCCACGCCATATAACTGCAGAATCCGTATTATCTAACAGAAAACCGATTGATACTACGGGTAAGCGTTTTGTGTCTCCATCAGCGTAAACAGGTAACCATCCTTCCGCACACGAATGTATCTTAAGATAATATGTGAGAAGCACATAAGTAACGGAAGAAATTAAAAACAATTAACGAGTAAAGAGTTAGTATTTTGCAGTTTTTGAACTCAACTTCACACCATGACTAAGAAAACTACAAGTTTAAAACATTTTTTGTCCAAATAACCATTACCATATAAGATACAGCTACAAAATATTATGTCAATTTGATATGTAGTAACATTTTCTACTTGAAGTACTTACCAGACTGATAATTTTTAGAGTGCAGGTCCTACGGCTCTTTCATGTCATATTAAGTGCAATACGCACTTCATCGGTACTAGAAGATGAAACTTCACCAGGAACGTCTACATTTCTAACCACAAACATCTTGACAACTTCAGAATAAAACGCAATATTAAATCTCACTCTGAGACGATACGCCTATATAAGATGAAATACATAAGTGGAGAGGGAGAATCATAACGCAAATAAGCATGATTGAGTTGTCACTGTAGAACTCGGCACGAAGGTGCATCAGTTCAAAATTCGATACAGAAGAAACCCACAAAATAGTACGGAAAAGAAACAAAATGAAACTACAACAGATGAAGATGCACGAGAAAGAGGAAAATAAGATGAATATTGGCGAACACCTTCAAAATATGCACAATGACAAGGGTCGGATACATCTGCGGTACTGAAAATGATTGTGAGCCATATCACCAGGGCTCTCCAAGCAGTCTCGGAGAGAAAATCAACATGAACACAGGGAAATTCAGTGATCATAACGAAATCATTAGCTGCTAACCTCCAAAGTTCGTTTAGTTGGAGTTAGCAGATAACTGTCGATGAAGCTCCATAATTCTAAGGGTTGAATGTTTTGAGTGGGTGGCTGTTCATCATTTTACTACTCAGTCAGAAAACCAAAGTAATTCAGCATTTGGGACTGTTTATTTGCGAACTCTAAAATACATGATGCTCCCAGCCCAAAGATGGACTCTCACAATGCATCACTTCGAAAACTAATAATCTAATCTCGTCACAATTCCAAACATAAATGACACACAGACCAACATACGGCCCACTTCACAACAATTAAATAAAAGTTACTGAAAATGTTCGAAATTTCGACGAAGAGCTGGGTGCTCGTAGCTAATTTGGACTAAATCTTCAATCGTTGGTTCTCAACATCTTCACACTCCCGAGTGACAACTTACACTTTATTGCACGATTACGAAGACTTAAATTTTAAATGGTCTTATCACTTCAGATTTCCACCCAAACCAATCTTGCTTTAATGGCAATAGTACATATGATGCAGATCGTACATCCACTTTGTAGAACGGCTAAGGGTTTCTAAGTCACTAGAATAAACAGGCACTCACACTGATGATTGCAATTGAAAACCAAAGCCGTCACGCGAATTCCACTAGATCTAGGATAGTGTTGGCATCTGAAAAGTTTGAGTATTTTGCGATTCAATAATACATATTAAAAATGATATCTTTCTTTTTCTATCGCTATTCCTAAAGCTCTGACAAACATTCTATTATCTCACTGCATTTGAAAGCAGTAAATATACCTATCTAATAAACACACAAGGTGTTTTAATTGAAATTATAGGCATTTCGATCATAACTCGAGACGAAATATCTAACATATAAGGTTGAATTCAAAAGCTTTCAGTTCTAAGTAAAATAAATACGAAGAACCCAAAAAAAGAGGGATTTAGTGCGACAGTGTTATGGGTCACACTAGCACTTTACATCTAATCATGAAAAATAAAATTATTAGGATGAAGGGTGGAAATGAAACATGTATTGGAAACGGAAATTATACAGAGAACACCGATTAAGACACGTGGTGTAGCTATTTGGAAAAAAGATGATGTAAACAGTCTGACAAGTTTGAAACGATTCACTAAAAGACGACGGAAAAGCACACAAATTCTAGTTTCTAAACTCACCAACAATATTTAATCGGGACGATCACATAAGTGTAGTGGATGAAAAACAGTTTGGTCCTCACTAACCAATACTAAAATATTCTTCCTAATTTTTCACTCCCTTGAAGATGCTTCCCAAGATTGACTACCATCTCGTTCAAATTGCGAGAAGCAATTTAGTGCAAGACATTTGCGAGGTGCATAGAAAGTAGTTTACTAGAATACTAAAGTTGTTTTGCTATAATTAAAACCGTCACAGCTATCCTACAACTCTGTAAGTACGCCTTCATTTCGATTCGAAAAGCCCAAGGGTTGTGGATTAAAGATATTAAAATAGAAGTCGGATACCAACAAATATTTCTGAGTGTAGACCAGAAGTATAAGTATATATAAGTATATATATATATAAGTATAAGTATATATATATATATATATATGTAGCTTTTAATTAGTTCAACCAACTAATAAGCGCTGATGTGGCTCAAGTACGCTGAAACAGCCAAGGAAAACAAGTGAAGTGACAAGTCGAAAATAAACTCTTTAAAAAGAACTAACCTTATTGCTTTCCAAACCAAGCATCCGGGGTGTAGATGGTCCACAGAAGTCAATATCAAGGATACCGACACGAAAACCACTCATCCATAAACCGATGGCAACCTGAACTGCGACAGTAGACTTTCCAACACCTCCTTTACCGGATGTCACAATCACGACATTTTTCGTGTTTCTTATTCCAGCTTGGATGAAATCAGTATGGGAAATATCCTGAAATGAAATTTTATATAAATACGAGATACAAGAAGAACACGAATTCTTTGGAAGTTCTATTGGAAAAAATTTGAAGACAAGAGAGATTTACATGGACAACATGGACATCACTATAGACAGTTGTACTATCGGTAACGCCTTTCGGGGGTCCTACGTACGGGTCCCATATAATGGTGTTGAGGGCTGCGATCTCTTCTCTCAGTGTGTCTTGACGACCTCCCATTACCATAGCGATCTTCGGATCTTATGCGATCAGATGAATGCCTTTCAAAGTGCGGTGGAGGGCTGTATGGCCAAGCAAACGGTGGAAAAGCTAACGGCTGAACAGGAGAATTCGGATACTCAGATCGAGATAAATAATTAGTTTCCTGCATGTAGAACCCGTGCCAATTGGGAAATGGTGGGTGAAAATTCACGAAGTTATCACGTTGACGATCAGGATAATGTATATCTCTTCTGCCATCGTAGTCGATACGGTGTGGATCAGTTTTAGATCTCCGAAACTGATAGGTGAAAGGTGGGACAGAACGGATTTTCTGACTTTCAAACTTGGATCCTTGCCTTGGACGAACAATAAGCTCTGTCCCATGTAAAGTGAGACCTTCGAAAAGTGTGCATGCATATGGAACAGACACTTCGTCTTCATATGTAACGAAAGCAAAAGTCTCTTTCACCGTCACATCTTCTAATGGTCCTGCCTGAAGAAAGAGTTCATATAGAAGGTCAGCAGTTATCCTGGGATTAATGTTCCCGATATACAAACTTCTGTCTGCCAGTTTGAATCACCGTGACTACGTGAAAGATACGACTAGTGATTGTGTATCCAAAAATCTGAATAGACAGAGGATAGCGCCGGTAAAGGATAGCAGCACACAGGGCTTATGGAGGGCAGCCTGTCGACGGACGTAATTTTGAGTGACCGCGAATGAGATAAACAAGCGATTCGCTCGCTTGTGATTGGCCAGTTTGTCATTCGAGTTGAGGTAATTTCAAACATCATTTTGCTGCTTGGTTAAGTTCTGAATTTCCGTGGGCGTTTTATCAAATTGGAGAGATAACTGACAACACAAATGATTACAGCTCAGGAAAGAAATGATATAGCAGTGGATTTATTTGCTGAATTCAACGAATTCATGCCAAATTACTATCTAAGGACTTCTCAGGAGTATCAAGAATGCAAACAATGTCCTGAAGAGGTAATAACTTCACGCAACTTCAATTATCGCTTGACCATTATTTTCAGAGATCCTTAAATAAGTATAATATAGACAGTGGTCTGGCTAATCATGACAAAAATGGCATGGTTGATGCAGCAAATACGTATACTCATGTATATGTAGGTAAACCTAGATAAACTGTGTTCTTGTCACGAAGATCGGAAAGCAGGTACCAGATGTCTCAGTAAGCAGTGTAATACATGTAAGTTACATGTTTTTATTTGACATAAGCTGGATCTTCACTCACTTTCAGAATTAATCTTGAATTCAGTTGGAATAAGCTGGTTGAGCACATCAGTATTGAGAGAATACAGTGAAAGTAAGTAAACACATGCTTCTTAAGATTAAGTGATACATTTTTTTGATATGATTGTATTATTGTTAGTTGTCTATCTAAGTTAATGATGAATTCGTTGCGATAATAATACCTATTATTGTTTTTATAGTCACTATGAACATGAATGTTATTATTATTGCTGTCAAGACCTATTATTTGTCATAAAGTTGTTGTCATTTTTGCTAAAATATTTGTACAAGCTTTGGAAACTACTGCATAACTTGTCGTTAAATAATTTTATCACTTCATGATGCTTCGATGGACCTACTAGATATCGACAAACGATAAGTTGCGAAGTCCCTTAAGTTTAGTGAAAACTATTGGGCTACATATACATATATTGCTTGTAAAGTGATTACTTGTAAATGCTTATCAGGAAAATTTTTTATTCAGATCATACATGTAATACCCAAGTTAATTATGCTTTTCTTAAACCTTTTCAGACTTATGGAAAAACATATATGTGCCGTGTACGCAGATGGAACTTACTGACGGTAACAGAGGACTACTCATCTGAATTATCTGTACATTTGAAATCTGATTTTTGTTTAATAAACAATTTTCAATGAATCTGTCTTCCTTCTGTTGTAATGCGATTGTGTTCCAGTAACATAAGTAGCACGTGCTAAGTTAGAAGTTGGGGGTAAACTGTTAGGAGTAAATACGGCGTCTGGAAAACTTTTGTTTACGTGATTATATGAGCAGATAGCAACGTATCGTGTTCTTTGGCTGAGGACCCTAGGCATTCTGTTTTTAATTATTACGATAACCGTAGTTGCACTGAGTCATACATCTAACAGCATAGGTATAGTCTCTCCTTATGGTATGCTGCGGCATGCAGAAATCACAAGCAAACTATCTCAGGTAGATTTACTCTTACTTTGTGACTATGAATCGCGAATCAGTATATGTATTCTGCTAAGACGACAGATAACTCGAAACGCTTTATAATCGCAATACCTCCTCTACGACTTAGACATATTTACTTTATTTGACTACAACATAATGTTTTACCAATAGGCTTCTCCGAATATCTGCTCCTACTTAGTATTTCAAAGATAGCCTCATATACTCTATACCTCACAAATTACGCAAGGGCTAATATTCGGTCTTATCAAGTAGAATAAACAAACGAATAACAAGGGATACATTTATTAATGAATTAACATGTAATACAAAATCGACAACAGTGCAGGCATCTTTTTCTTTATCACCGAAATCCATGAAATTCCCGAAAGTAGATATTATCTGAAAAAGAAGATAAGAATTATACAGATGTAGATATTGTTACCAGTGTAAACACAATAATTAACCATTAAATATGCTTAAAATGACAAAATAATGATTTCAACTGTATATAATTATGTTAGTCAACATTTTTCAATAATGCAAAGTTGATATTCCATCTGCCTGCTAACATCAACTTTATGCCATCAAATAAGGAAATACTATGCATATATAATTTTTATGTATTTTTGCAGATTTTTCTTAAAGAAATACATGTGGAGGAGCCTTGTCAGCATTTAGCCAAAGTACACAACAAAGTAAGTGAAATAATTACCAAAACGAGCTATCCCACCTCATCATGTCCATGTGTAATCCATTAAACTGCAAAATAAATTCACAAAAAGTCTTTATAACATATTTCTTCAAGTAATTAGACATTTTCTGAACGGAAAAATACGTTATTTTCAAGAAACTGTAAACTGCCTGTGACCTACGTCCGGATAAGAACACCACCATATGCTCTTTCTGCTAAATAGGCCGCATTTCATCCACTTTTAGCAGGAATATAGGTAGAAAAGTGTGAAAAACAACGAAAAATGACCTGACCTTGACGTTTTTCCAATAAATAACGCCAATATCCATCAGCTGATCAAATGACCTACGTCCGTCTACAGGCTGCCCTTATGGAGAGGCTGAGCACTTCAAGGTCACTCATGTGTATTTCGATTGGTAGATTTTCCTTTGCATAAACGTTGCGGCTAATACATGTTGTGAAAGAGGCTACAGTCAGTTTCTAGGTCATGATTAGTTCCTGCGCCGGCTAGTTATATGTTTTCGTGAATTCGTTTTCCATTGAATTTTAAAGGTTTTTCTGGATGTTTTGCCCATTTTGCAGTGTGTAGGTCAGTTTTTGTCACTGGGTGCTACTATTTAGCTTATTTTTAGCTTGAAGTTCACAGTTATTATGTTGGTAGTCAAAGATTATTGTAAACCTGCAATCATTGAGCTAATTAACGTATACTATGCTAACATAGTAACATAGACTATGCTAGTAATAGTAACATTAAACTCCCTTACTGTCTTGCCATTGTTTGACAGTGAAACTGTGCGCTGATTTTTCAGCATGAGTGGCACTAAATCGAACCTACTGGGTCTGCTTATCAACTTTGTTCCAGCCCTCACAGGACATATTAAGCATGGACTAGCGTTTCTCCTTAGCGGAAAGTTTTGATTCAGCACGCAGCTGTCTTTTTAAGCACGACCTATGTCATTTCAGAACATAGTGGGTAAATATGTTCTTCAGTTACCATAAAAAGGCATTATCGAGGAATAAGTTAGAATAAATTTAGAATTGTTTTAAGCTTGGTGGTGCTGCGGTCTAAGTGATAAATCGTATTAATCACCGTTATTCAGGATATGCTATGAACCGGAAATCCTCAGCTGAAAAACGTATGAATAAGACACAGATCGGTGTAATTTATAACTGACTCCAAATTGCTTTCATCACGAAATAATCAACCAAGGTATGCTTTAAACTGTCGCTCTCAGCCGTTTGAAGGGAAATTTACTTGATTTATGCTGACCTAGTATGCACAAATCCCACATGTCATTGAATTGACGACTTAAAAAAGTAGATTAGTTAATACATACATTTATCTATATGTACTAATTAAGGACACATTAAATTTTTAGAAATTGTAGTTAAATTATATTCGCCTAGTAATAAAAAATGCATACATCCTATTTTGGACTTAAAATAAATGCATCAAAATTATTGTTGATTTATATTCACTTTCTGGACATTCTCATACATCTCAACATACTTAAAACATCAACAATGCATCCAAATAGCGTGTGACTGCCACACTACACTCACACCAAAAAAATTAACACGCCATTATATTATGGTAAGGTAAGCCCGAAATTTTACTGACTGTAAATTTCCGTGTAAAAATAAAGAGATTGGCGCTTTAATTTATATTTTAGACCAATAAAAAGCCAGCTAGCCAACAGCCAATAAAAAACTGCCTATATCTATTTTCCATGTTGTAGGTTACTGAGGCGGGCTTTGAAATAACAGTAATAAAATC